CACTGAATTTCCAGTTTAAAATACATTTACAGACACTTCTACATTTTGAACTTCTGCCTGATCCAGTATCCTCATGGATTATGCATTGATTATTTGAATTTGTACTTCCAAGCTTTAGCCATACACATTATGACCCATACATCCAAGTAGAACTTTCTGGTGTCCAGATCCTAGGATAATCTCAAAATTTAATACAACCTTAATAATTTCCTTATTCTCCCATGAAATATTTCAAGGAAGATTTTGGCATCCATACTATCCATATGCATCATTGGTTTGATACTACTCCAAAGAGTTACAACTGTTTTTAAACTAAATTTAATTCAGTACACTTTGGTTAATCAAATTCTTTAAAGTTCATTTATGTGAATGTTTTAAGGATACATCAAATAGTTGTGACATTCTGACCTATTTTACATAAAGATTTAAAAGTTTTAGTCTTGAACAGTATTTCTCTGGCAAACCAGTCCAAGTGAAATAATGTGTGATTTCTGAGTTCATAAAGAAGTCTTTAATTAATGCTTAGTTTATCCTGATTTTCAAATGTGTGGAAAGTAAAAAATGATTAATTTGAAAATTTATAGATCAGTAACGAAAATCTGTGGAATAGTGTTTACCAAAACAACCCCTTGTACTACTGACAATTATCGATTCCCATAGTAGAACAAAATTCCACCTATAATGACTTTTAAAATGGTACCTATTCAGTAATGGTACATATCCAGTAATATGTATATACATATATACATATTCAGTAATATATGTAAGATAAAGCATAGTAAATGTGGCAAAATGAAACCACCATATTTTTTTGTAATTTTTTATTAGTTTAATTTAGGAACAAGCTTGTCACACAGGTCAATCCCTTCTCCATCTCCCTCCCCTAATCTCCCCCCCTCCCCCCTCCTTTCCACCTACTCTCCCCACCCCCCACCCCAACAACCCTCCACTCCCCAGGCCCCTCGACAGGGGCTCCCCAAAGTCGACCACATCATCGTGGGCTGGGCCTAGGCCCTCCCAAATTGTCCAGGCCAAGAGTGCATCCCTTCATGTGGGATGGGCTCTCAAAGTCCCTTCTTACACCAGGGAAAAATACTAATCCACTACCAGTCGCCCCCTAAAGTACGGAGGCCTCCTAATTGACATCCATGTTCAGGGTTTTGGATCAGTCCTGTACTGGCCTCCCAGACAGCATCTGGGTTCAATGTGTTCCCCCTTATTCAGGCCAGCTGTTTCTGTGGGTTTCTCCAACCTGGTACAGACCCCTGCTCTAGAGATCTACAGATTGTCCCCTGGGTGCTCAAAAATATGTCATGTGTCAAAATTAGCACAGTATATAGTTGAACCTCGTTGTCTCAGCATATTTCTAAGCATTCATGTTCTCTGTGGATCTGACCCTAAGACAATTATTCGGTCAATCATTTTGCATGGATGGAAATTATACACTTAAGCACAATAATATATATGTATATAAATTAATGTGTGTTAATAAAATAAAATATAAGCCAATAGCCCAACACTTCTTAAAAACAGGATATACAGAATGCTTGAAGATAGCCACTATACATCCAAGAAACTATCACTAATTATCAATTATTTCAACAATTATTCATGTAATATTTTGAGAATTGTTTTTGAATTTCACAGAATTTCCAATAACTCACATAAGTTTGTGATTCACTAAATACACACATTAGTACAATTGCTACCTGAATGAAAAGGCTATGCATGCCTGTTTCCTACTACTATTTTCTATGCAAATTAGCACCAATGTTATATTGAGTTTCTTTAGAACATTAATCTTGTGTATAGTATTGAATGGCATAAAATATTAACTTTTTTTAGAGGATCTTCATTAATCTGTGTATATACTATTTTATTGGTTATAGAAGAAAAATAAGGGATAAATTATGAAAACCAAAATAATTTGTCATGATAGAAGATACTTAGGTTAGTCTTACAAGCCACTTTAATAGTTTGAGAATTTGGATTACTCTGGTTTCTAACTATTTAGTCATGAAATAACTCACACCTGCTTCTATAGTACCAATGGTGACCCCAATCCCCTTCATTTAGACCACTTCATTATTCTCCTGGGATTCTTTAACTTAGCGGCAAAGCAAAGCCATTTTTATTCTTGGGGAAAATGTTAATAATATTCATGCAATCTGCCAAAAACTTAATAGATTTATTATTTAATATCATTAAACATTAATCAATAAGATATAACTCATCAGGAAAGGCATTGTTCCTCCAGAGCCCGGTTTCCCCAGTGTGTGCTCTGTCTGTTGTGTTAGCTAGAGGCTCCACATCTACTGGATCAGAATACCATTTTAATACAGCTCTATAGTGATCCACACATTCAAAATCTTTATTATGATGTGCACGTTTAGAAATGACAGGAGCCAATTTGAAGAATAGCTAGGCAGATGGGGAATTAGTACTGATAATTGTTAATTGTCTCATGAGCGTGTTTCTAGAATAGTGAAAGTCCTTAGAGAATGTTGATTTGCTGACATACAGTAACTGAAGAAGTTAAACTCAGGACAATTCTTCACAGCTGCTCAGGTGACTGAGGATCTGCAAAGGCACAAATTAGGTGAGTCCTGGAAGATGCTAACAAGAGATGCAGACCCGGCTTAAAGGTATTGTTGCCACTGAGGACTAAGTCTGACCTTCTAAACACTAACTGTAGAATTTAGGGGGCATGCTTCTACCAATTCTAGGATTAGAGCCATTTGCAATTGGCAAATAAAACTTGATATTGATAATTGAATTGAGAATTTGGATGAGTGTATTTGTCCCATGTCAATTAGGACTCTGATGTCTGGAGCAATCACTGTCTTAAGTCAGGCAGAATCTAATTATTCACTTATTCCTAAAAGTACCCTTAAAAGCCTGAAATTTGGCAGACTTGTATTACTGGGGAAATAGGCAAATAAGTCCAACTTGTCATTTGGCTAATAGTGTAACTTATAGCCCAAGAAGCAAGTGTGTACTTCAGAAATTACAACATCCTGAGCATGTTATAAGAAGGATGAATTCAATACATGATTATGGAGAATCACCCCATGTCAACCATAGTTTTAGAGTAGACATAAATGGAAATACATATTTACCAGATAACAAAGAAAAAGTGCTTGGTGACACTCTTGCAAATAGAATGAACATCAATATAAAATATAGATAATAAAATGACTGTCTCATACTCTAGGAACTGTAAGTAGCCATCTGCATCCATCACAGATAGAGAGGGTTATACATGAAGAATTTAGTAAGATCAATGTTACTGAATATTTGTGGTTAAAAAAGGAATTAAGGGAATCTTTCCTCTAGATCTTTGAAAGTGGATTATCAAGAGACTTAGGACTCAGCTGTCCTTGAGAAGGTATAAGTAACTTTCTCCCCTTTTAAAATAACAAACTGACATAATTGTCCCTTGTGATTATTAAAAGTTATGTCTTCTGTGCTCTCAAATCTAATAACCTGTCTAACATTCCATAAACTGCATGCTAATTATATTGACTTTAATTGTTTTCCAAGCATCCTATAGCTTCTGTGTTTCATCATGTCAATATCCTTTCCTTAGCAAGAACATCCACAGTGCAAGCCATAGCTTGACATGTAGCATAATAGTTTTATATCAGTGATTTCAAGGAACACAGAAGAAATGGAAGCATGTTCTAGACCTTGCGGCGAGGATCACAGCTATGGTAAATGGTAAGTACTAAGAGGCCCATTGGTTCAACCATCAGTCACCATTGGGACCTTTGGCTTTATTCCAGCATGTGAGCTCAGAAACCACTGTTAGGTATCACTGTGTAATAAGGATTTAGGCTAACCTAAACTAATATAGTATCATTTGTTACATTCTATGATTGGTATTTTCATGAAAAATCTGCATTTCCCTTTGTTTTTTTTTGGGGGGGTATGAATTTTATTGCTTCATTGACTTGAAGGTATGTCTTTAGTTTTCATATGAATTGTCTTTTCAAGATCTGTGAAAAAGTCTATCAGAATGTTGATTATAATGAATTTGTAGATTGCTTTTGGTAGGATGGCAATTTTTACTATGTTAATCCTACCTACCCACATGTGTGGGAGAGCTTTCTCTCAATTTCTATCTTCAAATAATTGAAGATTTTAGGGTACAAATATTTCACATCCTTGGTTAGAGTTACCCTGAGATATTTTGTATTATTTGAGGCTATTGTGAAAGATGCTGTGTCTCTGGATTCTTTCTCAGTCAATTTGTTACTTTTATATAGAAGAGCTACTGACTTATGTAAGTGAATTTTGTATCCAGTCACATAGTTCCAAGTGTTTGTCAGCTGTAGAAGTTTATTGGAGGAAATTTTTGGGTCAGTTACATATGTGATCATATCATTTGCAAGTAATTCATTATGAATTTTTACATTTTGAAATAGTCAATATATATATATATATATATATATTAATTTTATAACAGAACAAGAAAAGAAATATGTAACTACTCACTTGCTTCTATGTGGCTCCTCTTTTGACACCCTCTGATTCACAGAAGTTAAAAGGAAAAGGAGAAAAATTGGGACACTAATATTTTCATTCCTGAAATTTTGTCAGTAATTGTTATTTGCTTAACAATTGGTTGAATGTAGTTAACTAAAGGTTTGATTGATAAGTTTGTTCCATTTATGAGTTACATGGAATTATTCTCTAAAAATCATGATTCTAAACCAGCTTCTTTTTGTGCAAATATGTCTTTTAGTAAATGATGTGGTTTAGGAACACTAGGTTAAAAGGTTTGACATATTCAAAATTGAAAACTGACGGTATAAAAATTTTCAGTGCTATAAACACAAAATGTTTTCTATAAAATATTGTTAGTTTTGAAACTCTAGTAAATATATAATTAGACAACTTCCACATAGTGATGATGGCACAGAGAGAAGTGATCATGTAGAATTTAATGGGACACATCCTTCCAAAAAAAAAGTAACAATGCCTTTCAAAAGACCATATTTTTCCTTTCAGAAACTGGACAGAGGGCATGGAAAAAGGTAATCACTCCACAGTGACCAAATTCTTTCTTGCTGGGTTAACAGACCAACCAGAGCTGCAGCTGCCCCTGTTTCTCATCTTCCTTGGAATCTACCTGCTCACAGTGCTGGGGAACCTGGGAATGATCATCCTGATCCTGCTCAGCTCCCACCTGCACACCCCCATGTACTTCTTCCTCAGCAGTCTGTCCTTCATTGACCTCTGCCAATCTACTGTCATTATCCCCAGAATGCTGGTGAACTTTGTGATGGAGAAGAATGCCATCTCCTACCCTGAGTGCATGATTCAACTTTACTTCTTTCTCCTTTTTGCTATTTCAGAATGTTACATGCTGGCTGCAATGGCCTATGATCGCTATGTCGCCATCTGTAGCCCCTTGCTGTACAGCATCATCATGTCTCAACAGGCCTGCCTTTCTCTTGTTTCAGGAGTGTATGTAATAGGTGTAGTTTGTGCATCAGCTCACATAGGATGTATGTTTAGGATTCATTTCTGCAGATATGATTCGATCAACCATTATTTCTGTGACCTTATTTCTCTCCTTAAGCTCTCCTGCTCTAGTGTTTATGTCAATGAATTGATGATTCTAATATTTAGTGGAATTAATATCATTGCCCCAACCCTGACCATCCTTAGTTCTTATGCTTTCATCATTATCAGCATCCTACACATTAAATCCACTGAAGGAAGAGCCAAAGCCTTCAGCACCTGCAGCTCCCACATCTCAGCTGTTGCTCTCTTTTTTGGTTCTGCTGCATTTATGTATCTGAACCCATCATCTTCCAGCTCCATGGATGAAGGGAAAGTATCTTCTGTGTTTTACACTATCATTGTGCCCATGCTCAACCCCCTGATATATAGTCTGAGGAATAAGGATGTCAATATTGCACTGAAGAAAATGATAGAAAGAAGACCATTTTTGTGAAAAACATAATGTGTAAAATATTCCATTAGATCTTCATCTGTGGCCACTACATAGTATGAATTGAATGAATTTATTTTATTCAGCCTATGTAATTTTTCTTCATCTAATAAGATTCTGTGGCTTTATTTATTTTCAATGGTCTTAATACTATTCTCTCAATATTCCACCTCATATCTTCTCCTTTGGGATCACTTATATATTCTTAATATCTGGAATGTATTTGCTACTACCAGGCCTTGATAATTTTCTTGATATTTTTAAAGTATTTGACAGCCAATATGTAACCAACATAGTTGTTGCTTATTAACCATTCTGTGTTTCATTCAGCATTTTCTGGTTTGGTTAAAATACATCATACATAAATTTCACAAATGCTTCAAACATCTATAAGACAATTTCTGGCCTTATGTTACTAGAAAATGTTTTAAAAATATTAGGTTTGTTTCTGAAATAAATCATAGCAAAAGTGTGACAATATTGTTTTATTTATATATTTTATAATTTTCTTTTTGGTATACATGTGTATGTTTGTGTGTTAATAGGAATGTCTACATGTATGCTGGTATATGTACACATATGAGTTGGAAAGCAAAGGGTATGTTCAGTATTGTTCATATGAGCTGTGTATCTTGTTATAAAGATAGCACCCCCTTGCCACTGGCCACAGCCTAGAGCACATGATATCCAGATAGAGCCTGTTCTTCCCAGTGCCATGATGTGGGACCTGAAGAACACAGAAACCCCTGTGTATACCCCCCACGGACTTCTCAAGATGTACACTTTGAACCTGCTATCACCACTGGGCTCATTATTGTGCTAAGAAGCTGAACCTTGTCATAACTGAACTAGAACCAATTTTTAAAAAAACCTTTATTATTTTTTTGCTGATTTCACATCATGCAACCTGATCCCACTTTTCTCCTTGTCTCCCCACATCTGCCTTCTACCTTTGCACCCCCTCAAAATAAAGGAAAATTTAAACAAAAACAAAAACAAACAAGCAAACAAAGCAAAACAAAAACCAAACCAGAGCAAAACAAAACAAAACAAAAACTAATAGAGGGGGTTGGATGGGGAGAAGCTTGTTATGGAAGCTGTAGGGTAGCCCAGTTGGCCAGGTCATATAGTTCACTCTTTAGCCTTTTCACCTTCACTTGCAAGTGTTCTATGCCATGAGTCATTGTTCTGGTTCAAGGCATCTCACCTCTGATACACCATGGATAATGTGCTCTCAATGGGGCTCCTACTGGACATCTTGTTGTTATTCTGTGTCATGGTGATCCTATAGTTTTGAATCTTTAGGTTCCTCCCCTTCACATGCTTCAAAAGTTTGTAGATAAGGTAGGTAACAGAGTGGGCTAGCTCATAGCCCTGGTTCTTGGAAGAGTGGTAGCTGCTTACTTCATCTAAAAGCCCACAAGCATTTCAAGATTTCAAGTCAACATCCACATCTTTGCTGTTCTCAGAAAAATAGCACACAAGAGCTACCATAGCAGAAAGATAAGAGGCATCAGCTAGGGACCAAGTTTAAGTTTTAATCTTAGAGCAAATATTTCTAGCTGCATGATCAATTCATTACATCTCTGTGCTGTCAAATATACCTATGGATTCTTAAAATATCATAATATCTTCCAAATTCTTAATCCATGCATTATTTTTATTAAAACACTTCCATATGGGGTGGTTGATATCCTCATTACTAATTTATACTATTCCCTGTTAAGTACAATATTGTTTTTCAAGGCTGTACTAGAAGGATGCATAAAATAATTAAATAATTGATCTATTCGTTAAACTCCATTTTAAGTTGTGATGTACATGCTAAATAGCTACAGAATTCCCAACATATTTATATGAGTGAAGTGGAAGTATTATAGTGTTAACATATGCAAATAATTGAACAGATAGCACAGATAAAGAAAGCAGCTGTCATGATGTCTCAAGATAGATATTGGAGTCCATTGTCCAAGCTGGAAGATAGAAGGAAGATGTAGGTGTTACCCCTTTCAAAACTTCCTTTATTTTGGGTAAGATTGTTAACTTTAATCTAATTGTTCCCTTGGGGCTATAAAGGACTGAATCAAGAAAATATCCAAAGGGATATGAAAGAAGTGATCCAGGGGGAAATAAATATGTTTGAGGCTCATACATGGCTACCTTTTGCAAACATTAAACCTCAGTTAGTGAGGCTGAGTTATTTGAACTCTTCTAAGAACAAAAGAATGTGATTGGGTCATCTTTAGAACACTGTAGAAAATCCCACAGTAGAGTAGGCAATGCATGTCAGCAATTCCAGCATCCTATCAGAAAGATAGTGGATAGGGCATCCAGGAGGGCTCCACACTGAAGTCAAGGCTAGCATGCTGGTGACTGTTGTCAGAACACCACTAAGGGTTCAGATATAGCTTGTGGCAGAGCACTTCTCTAAGACAATGGATGTTTCCTCAATTTTTGGAGTAAAAGGATACCTTAATCCTGGTGGAAATGTAAGTGTTTTTATTTTTTTCTCTTCTCCCTGGCACCTTTTGTCTTTTATTCACTGAACTGTTGATATCTAATAGAAGAAAGTTCCTAAATATTCAGAATCTTTGTAGATGCTTTTTTTGCATGAAAATTTCCAAATGAGAATTGAAAACTTTTTGACATGTGTTTTGATGTCAAGATAAATCGTAAAAGTAAATGCAGCTTAATGGCTAAGCTCTTGACTCATACATATGAGGATCAAAGGTCAATATCAGTTGTTTCCCCTGTAACCAGAATCAATTGTCATTGCTACCATATTAACCCATAGAAGTGGCAGTCTACATTCTGTGACCCATGGTTCCCTCACTCTGGAGTTTATCCCTTCATAATAGGTACACAGTAGTATCTAATTATGGTTTTATTTGCACTTCTTTGGCAAGGATGATGGTTACGTTCTACAGTATTGTTTTATATTCAGGTATCTTACTTGATAATATACATGTTCAAAGTAGTTCCCCAATATGCTTGAAGCTGAGGAATTACTTTTCTTTTAGTAAAACTACTATAAATGTTGGATATGTAACTTGTTTTTTTATTCCCTATGAGCTACCTTTTTTATTTTCTCGGGTTGAAAAATATCACATACTTTAATTTTTAACTTTGAAACAATTTTAGATATAAAGTTCTAAATATGATATAATTTAAAATATACAGTATCACAAATCCCTAAACAATGTACAAAACATATTATACAATTTTAATTCTTTTGTTTAAAATTAAGTAAATAATATTGACACATTTATAATTGTCTAATGATCTCATTTTAACATCACTGAATTGCTGACTACTGTTTTATTTTTGTGCCAGAAGACTCCATTGTTATTCTAGTATGTTTTATTGGGTTCTCTGTTTAGTCACTTGCACTTCTTAATAGTTCTGAATTCTTTTTCTATCTTTCATGACCTTGACAATATACTTTAATTTTAAGTTAATTCAAATTACCATATTAAGAGAAACTCGTGGATAGCAAGTATGATTCTGTAACAAACCTTGGTCACAAAGAGATGATTCTGTTAGTATTTGGACTAATTATATGTTAGAATTTTGTGTTCTACATGATTTATGTATATGTACTTGATCCATGTGTATGTACTTTTATATAAGCTTTTGGTATGGATCTATGATAATTGACTTTTGATTGTTTATTTGTATGGATATTTAATTTGTCCAGAGTTAATGCTGAAAATCAATTATCCAATTACATTTTTGCACAGTTTGCTCAACGTCAAATAACTATGTATTTGTAGGTATGTTCCTGTATTCTCTATTCTGTGCTACCTCTACTTTCACCAATGGCATGTGATCCCAATTAATGTGGTACCAGAGTAGTATTAAAATCTGGTAATATGAGTTTTAAAAAACTTGGTTTTGTAAAATTCTTTTCATTTTATAATATATTATTTCAGGATAAATGACAGAATAAGTTTGATGCTAGCATTAAAAATTATACTAATTATATATTAGCTTAAAAAAAACTGATTTCTTGTCAATATTGGCTTTTTCAATCCATGAACATAGCCTTTCCTCCATTTACTAATCACTACTTTGGTTGCTATTTTACCAGTATGTTGTTTAAAATATGATGGTCCTGCACACATTTCCCTTTTATTAACCATAGACTCTTTTCAAATACAATAAAATCTGAGTCAGACTCCCCTCAATCTACTCCTACCAGATCCTCCCCACCTCCTCTCCCTTTCTGTCTTTTCTGTCATTAGAAAAGAGCAGGCTTCTAACATTTACCAGAGCTAAAATTATCTTAAACAATTTCTTTAAAACAGAAGATTAATTAGCCATAGAACTGTAGCTTTCACTATATCTAAAAAGGATAATTATAATGCTAATTATAATGAGACATGTGAACTCCTAAAAGCAATGTATAAAATTGAATAATAGCATAGATATTGTGTTGGTAACTCTTATAAGAAAAAGAGACAGAAGGAGACATGTTTTATCTCACAACCTTGTGCCTAGTCAGCTTTAAGATCCATTTGTATAGTATATTAAATTCTCACATTGCTTGATGAATTGAAACTACATTCTCTTCAAGTGTGGAAACTGAATCCTATAACAGGTAAGTAACCTTTGCAAAATAGCATTGAATCAGAAGAACTCACATTTAAGATACAATCTACCTCATAACAAAGTTAATATTTTTGTTTTATATTTTATTGATTTTGCCAAAACACTAGCTACTAAATGAAAACAATCAGAATTATTAAGAATTAATTATATTTTATCCATGAATTGTTTTGTGCATAGTTTCATGGAATCAAGATACATTCCAGTTCACAAGATAAAAATAGAAAAAATAGATATCACAAAAAATTGTGGCCGGGTGTTGATGGTGCACGCCTTTAATTCCAGCACTGGGGAGGCAGAGGCAGGCAGATCTCTATGAGTTCGAGGTCAGCCTGGTCTCCAGAGCGAGTGCCAGGATAGGCTCCAAAGCTACACAGAGAAACCCTGTCTCAAAAAACCAAAAAAAAAAAATGTGTGTTTATGTCACATGAGGAGCCAGATCTATTATACTAGATAGTGATATGCATAATATAAGCAAACAAACTTGTCATTCTAACAAATAACTTTTGGTGAATATTTTCTGTGTATCAGATAATGAGAGGCTCTAATTATCATGAATGCCTAAAGAACAAGAGGTATTACTATCCAAAATTTAAGAAAGAAACACAGAAATATCTAGGAAATTAAATACTTGCCCAAATTAAGTTGTGAACAATTACTTGTCATATTACAGGTATTTGTATTAGGTTTCCTTTTTTTAATTTTTAACATTACACTTTAATCATTACATTCCTGCCTTCCAATTCTCCCTTCAAATCCTTCTACATAT